CCTTTTGGCCCTGTGGGTAACAGGAGTAGTGTGGGACCAGCCCACAGGTCAGATACCTGCTCCACACACCAGATGGGGACTGGGTGCTGCCCAGTTGGGCCCTGTGCCACTTCAGCCCAGCCCTTGTACCTGAATTCATCCTCATGCCACCAGCCTCTGGCTTCTTTACTTTTCATTTCATCCAGGAAGAGCACACACCAACTGCTGAAACTTCCTTAGCCTGATGAAGGGTTTTTGAACCCAAAAGCTTGCTTAATAACTATTCTCCAACTATTTGGGTTGGTCTAATAAAAGATATCAAATTCACTCAAGGAACCTTGTCTGCCTATGTCCTTAGACCAACACGGCTACAACCTAAACCCCTGCTTCCTCATGCCACCTACATCTGATCCATCTGCACCCAGACCAGGCTCTATGAAAATGAATCAGGCCCTACATGATCTAGATCTGGCCCCATGATGCCTTGGCCAGCCCCCACACCACCCGGATAGGACCCTGTACCACCTCGGTCCGGCTCTACGCACCCAGATTGGACCCCAAGTGTTTGGATGAGGCCAGGAATTGCTTCAGACCTGCTGCATGTACTGGCTCTAATGATCAGGTCTGGAAATTTGGCAGCAGCAGAGCACACTGCCACTACTCCTTTCCTGCCACATTTTCAGTCCCATAGGGAACCCTGGATGACACACTTGCATGGGTTAGGGTAGAGCACCCCTGCATTAGATAATTGTATTTATATTACAGTCAGTACTTCAGATAGGATTGGGGTGGCACAGGCAGTAAAACGCATAGTTAACACCCTAGAGGCTGCAAGTTCAAGGCTAGAGCAGAAGTGCTCACAGGATGGCCTGCCAAATTCCAATGAAATCTGTGATTTCTGCTAAATACCTTGTTACACAAGGACATTTAAAACAAAGGACCCCTTCAGGGTGCTGGCAGAGATGGTTTCCCCTAGTTCTGCCTGGCCCAGTGCATGTTTGCTTCCCAACATAACTGGAGTTCCCCACACATGGATCCAGGTCACTGGTGGGGATCAGGAATCACTAGGCCAAGATCTTTTCTCTATTACCCTAGGGAAATCCCCTTTGAACTCCAGCCCTTGGGTCATAAGGGTCAGGGTCTGGGGACACCCAACCAGCAGGGACAATGTGCTGGGCTGCACATGGAGCATGTGGAGAGTGCTGAGGGGGTAGGATGGGCATGCCAAGTGGGTGCTATACTGAAGTCACAGGCATGGGAAACAGGCACAAAGGGAAGGTGGGTCTGTATTACATTATGCAGGCAGGTGCACTGCTTCTGCTGCAGCTCTTCCCCATTTGGCTCTGATGCACCTCTTGAAAATCGAGGGCAGTTTCACCTTGCAGTGACAGTGCCAGCATCATGGCACCCCTGGCAGGTTGCCACAGCACTCTGATGAGTGGCACTGTTCTATACGATTCCAAAAATATAATGGATATCATAACTGTATTGAGTTACAATAGGTAATGGATTGTACAATGGATAGGCATCTGGCTGGAGTCATCTGACCCCAGCACTGTTTCCTGCCTAGGCAGGGGGTCAGACTCGATCTGTTGAGGTCCCTCCGACCCTAGCATCTATGAATCTATGAGTTAAGTAGCCTGTGTCCCATGTGAGTGAAATGATTGTTGTCCTTACAAAATATGACAAACATGAAGATTGATAAGGAAATGTACAGGCTAAATTTTCCCATAGTACCTCTTCTTTAAAAGACAAAAAATTAAATGGTGAAATATTTAAAGTAGTCTTGTTCAGTTGATGTAAAGATCCTAACCCTTGTAGATATTATTATTCATGGATGGTAACTCAAATAAGTGGTTCCACCACAATTTGTGGGCCCAGTGGTGACGCAGATCTGCTTCTCAACTTCTAGGTATAAAACCCTAGTTTAACAAAGCATTTGAGCATGGACTTAACTTCAAGCATGTGCTGATGTCAAACTGAAGTCTGAAAGACTTACGCTGGCACTTCTTTGCTGAAGAAGGATGGTTTTAAGTACACGTTAAATTAGGCACATGCGTAAGTGATTTACCGAACAGTTGTAGAATTTGACCAAATGGGACTACGTGAGTGAGAATGCTGGCCATTTAGTTACATGTTTTCATGAACTAAATCCTGGCGAAATCCACAGGTGAAATCCTAGTCCTGTTGGAGTTGACAGCAAAACCTCTGTTGATGTTAATAAAGGCAAATTTTCACCCAAAGGTATTTCCCTCGCCTCTATCAGCATTCAACAAATGAGAATATCATCCATGGCTTCATGGTGGGAACTGGGATACAAAATAACCTGTCTCACTTTTCATTCCCATTTAGCCTGAACCCAACAATGCTTTTCTCAAAGTATTTTAGAGCAAAGGACAAAGAAACAACTTTTAGTATGTTTGTTGACCTGTAAACTACTGTGAAGTGTCTGGAAGTATTTGCTTCTCTTTCCCAGTTAAAGGAATGAGCTATTAAATACTTGCTAGTTTGAGATAACAACATAGGTCGTTAGAAAAGCTCAATGTAGACCAGAGTGTTGGTCAGGGGAATTTCAATATGGTGATGGCATAACCACAATATATTCCATCTTTTCCTTTTAATGTAACGACACATCTGTATACCGCATATTGACATGCTGCATATGCCCATGCATTGCTTTATAAACGTGTCTTTTTTACATCATTTTAATAAATCATTTCTGCTGTTGAATCTGTTTGTATAAACAACACTCCACTTAATAATATGTACATAAATGCATATATTTACACACACCCATTTATAAAGTGGCAAACAAATATGAAAAAAAAATGGCAGCGAATGAAACAGAAAACATGATGCTTTCTTTCTTTTGCGCTTTTTTTGGTTGGTTGCTAACTATACACATAGGAAAAAATACCAGTGAATCCCAATCAACGTATTGACCAAACAGTGGCAAGGATGCTTTATAGCATTGTCAAGTCATTGAAAATGTATATGGCATGCTTTGCTTCATAAGTGATAGATGTGCAGCCGACACCAGACATGCACTTTGCAAGTTGTTGGAAGAAAGGGCCAATTGTGCTATAAGATTAAATGGTGATTTCCTGGAATATGGGAAGTCTAATGCACTGGAATGGGCAGTCCATATGGGTAACAATGTTCACCTATATATCATGCTTTCTCCCAGCAGTAAATCTCAGCAATGTATATCCAAAGAATCTATCTTATGCATTATTTATGTCTCTGAAATAAAGATTAGAGCAGGCATTGAGTGAAACACCTTAAGTAAATGCTCATTCCATTTCAGAAAGACCGCTAGGACAAAGCGATCCAAAGAAATGTCATGATTTCGTGCAAATGGAAAGAAGATCCAGTAATAGGTTAGAAAAACCATATCAACCTTTACAATGAAGGGCAAAATTCTGGTCTCATTAGAGTCTATAGCAAAATGCCAATACGACAATATTTTGCAATGAAAACTTGAAGCTTATACTCTGAAATACAGATGGCTGTATCGATCAGTTGTGCAGTGCTTGCTCAGGCAAAATAATTAACTGCACTCTTTCTTACAGGAAATACTAAAATCCATTGTCATGGATGGCATGAAAAATACTTAGCTATTTAGGGACCAAAAACCTGAACTTCCTTGTATCTCCTATATCTGCTAAAGAATGGCCACTAGACAGACCCATGGGGATTCTTCACTTATAGCTTAAAAAGCATGAGATGAACAACTTACTACACTACATTCAGCTGGACAGCTGATTAAGAAAACACCCATGACAGTTGGATTGGCTGTTTAATTATGTTGCAGCCATAGCTACCAAGGGAGCAGGGGAAGCAGTGTGTGTGTGTGTGTGTGTGTGTGTGTGTGTGTGTGTGTCTATGTCTATGTCTGTGTGTATGTATATTAACATTTAATATTTTTAAATAAATCTACAAGAAATGGGACCTTCTCCTTTAAGCTGTTATATTTTATGCTGAATTGAATGTAGTATATCTTGGATTTTTTCAGTATGACGGGAAGCCAGACAAACAAGAAACATTGCTTTAGCTTGAACAAATTTGACAACAAGTTTCCCTTGAAGTTTTGCAACATGCCTGAAAACCCACCAAACACTCTGTAGCTAGTACATTCTTCTTTTAACATACCAGAAACAAAAATCATCCTCATGGGAGAATGAGTTAAAAGACATGCACATACTCCAAATGGGGATTTACAGCCAAATTAAGCTAATGAAAATAACACATGCTAAACAAAAGGGAGGCAAAATTGGAGACACGAGCAAAGATTTAAAACCTCACATGGACAATTTTATGATTCATTGTGAGCTTTTAAACAATCCAGAGAGCAAAAAAGGATTTTTAATTGATGGGTTTGAAAATAACAGAAACAAGAATGTATTTAACTTTGTGGGTTTTCCAGTTTAAAGTCTAGTTTAAATCCACTGAAGTTAATAGATTGAATTTCACTGAATTATATGGGTCAGGCCCTTGAGTGGATTAACTGAGTGGGTCAGGTCCTTGGAACGTATGAAGCACAGCAGTTGTCCTGGAGAGTATAATCATCTGTTTAAGTCAAGTCAGTATGTTGTTTTCAAGTGACTGATCTGTGAAGCCTACAGACACATGTATATACATATATGTGTGTGTGTGTATATATGTATACACATGTATATATACATATACATATATGCGTGTGCGTATTGTATATGTGTGTATATATATATGCTTTACAGGTCAGTTATTTATAATATGTGTATGTGTGTGTGTATGTATACACACATATATAAATTTATATAGGATATTTAAAATGATCCATGTTCTTTAAAGAAACATCACATCTCCACTCAATGTATCTGAGTGAACACTGGGTTTAAGACAGATCATTAATCATTAATAGATTCTGTGATGCCTCCAGACAAGCCAAACAAATTTATTTCAGGGCTTCTTCTTTTTTTTTTTTTTTCCTATGTGTATATTAGACATCAGAATCAAATTACGGCTTTATATGTACTTACAAGTAAATGCTGGATTCATTGCCCCCAATATCAGGCGACTGGAGTTTCTGCACGAGTATAACAATTATGCCAATGAAGAGAACAAAGTTTATCTGGGAGGAGAAAAAAAAAAAAAAAAGAAGTGAAAGGCTATCTGGATTTATGGGGAGACTGCTACTAGCCATGCTGTACTTCTAATGTATAATAGGGCAAAGATGGCAGAGACCAGCTGGATTTGCAACCTTACTCCTTCCCATCTGTGCCGCTGGGGCCCTGAAGAACTGACTGGGGAGGCTTGTAAGGGTCTTAGGCTATGGACATAACTTTTTTATTGCCCTGTGACTAGGCATCATAAGTACAAGCTTTCTTCAGGCTTGTCTACACAGTTACCATGGATAAGTATAAATCATCATCAACCACTGCAAGGGAAATACAGGCAATACTTGGTTGGCAAGGGCTTAGTCTTTCCACTGAGCAGTTTCAGCTCCTATTTAATTCATGCAGTCAGCACCACAGAATTAGGCTCCTGGTGTGTGAAGAAAAAGGTGATGTGGGGGGAATGTAGGTGGGTTTTCCTTATCACACGTGCCCTACAGCAATATTAAGTCCACTTATACATGTAGGCAGGAGAGGCCACCCCAGTGGTCCCATCTTGGAAAGGAGTATAGTGGTGCAAAATGGTTATTAAAGAAGAAATTATCATAATTTCCAAAGGGCAGGGGGGTGTTTATGAGAGGGCTGTTGGCTATAGCCCTGGGGGGCTGCATGGATGCAACACTGAGGAGGGCAAGAAACACAATTTTATTTAGGCTAAAAGAAACAGTTTTTCATGGGGAAAAAAGAAACCCGAAACAAAATAAACAGGGACAACTTTCAAATATACCTTTTCCAATGAGATTTTTTTTTTTTTTAATATCCTTCAAAATTGAACCATTTTGGAGAAATGTATCGATTTGGATGAAGCGGCATTTTTTTGGACCCAAATAAATGTGGTAGAAATATTGCAACCAGCATTACTCAGTGCATCATCTCGGCAGTGCCCATCACTGGATGTCTTGGCCACGAATTAGGATTCTCTCTTTGTTGTAAAACCCCAAGAGAGGAGGGTGGGAGGACTGTAACTACCCTATCCCCCTAGCATCTGATGAAGCTGTTGCCTATGCAAGCTTATACCTTTCTGGACCAGCTCGTCTCTAAGGTGCCAGCCTGCCCTTCTTTCTGCCTGACTGCAAACTAACACGGCTAACTGCCTTTCCCCTAACGTGAAACCCTCAGAGTGACATTATGACCCTTTGGTTTTATTTTATACACCTTAGCATTCATTATTATTTTGGGTCTGCCTTATTCTCTGAACGTGTTTCCACATACCTGGATCTCAGAAGAGACATCGGACTAGGGCAGCAAGTAGTTTAACCCCATATCCTGGCTTCAGATATGGATCCTGTTAATTTGACAACTTAAGGCCAAAACTGACCAATAGATCATTTTGTCTGACCTCCTATATATCAGCCAAGCACAGGGCAGAGTGGAGGAGGGCTGTTACAGCATCCAAGGTGCCCCAACAGTTGCAGCGACCTCGGGACAGACCTGACCTGCATATCACAGGCCATCTCAGTCCATGCAGTTTCCTCCATACAGAGCCCAGTAATTCAGGTTTAATTCAAGCAAATGTTCCAGCAAGACGTCCAGTCTGGACTTTGAGGCATGAAGAGATGGAGGATTCATCACTTCCCTTTTGCTAACTTGTTCCAGCGAGTATTTATTTATAAAGGAGATGTACATGACTGACTATCTGCAGCTAGAATATAGACACTGATACAAAGGTGTTTGCAAAGCTTGGGAAGAGGGCTAGCTGGGTACACCTAGGGTGAAGAGCAGCATATCCTTTTCAGTTTATTTAGGTATGGAAAAAATACCTCTTCCCTGGCTATATGATAATTTGACGTGTCCTTAGCTAACATTCAGTTCTATCTCGTATATGAAACCCTGGAGAAATATCTCCTCCAAATGGCACTTACCATTATTGATCCAACCACAGGACCCTTGATGACCCACCACAAGGCTGTGTTATCGTTCATGTCCCAGCAGCTAAAATAATGATGAAGAAAACCAGGGCAGAGGTAAGAGAGAAAGCAAAAAGATGCAACTAGAAGAACCAGCAAACTGATGCTTTTTTTTTCCTTGGGGAATATATCATAAGGGGAAAAGAAAGTCTTGAAACTCAAGCATAGGACTTGGATCCCAGACAGTGTGTCACAGAAAAAGACATCCTGCAAAGCCATAGCTAAGGTACGTCAGGTAAGATCCTAACCAGCCTTTACGTTGTCCCCACTTAGGTGCTGTCACACCTAGAATGTGGGTGTCCTTGGCCAAGCAGAAGAAGACTAAGCCAAAGTGTAAGCTTAGGCTTCCTGGACAAACGTAGGCAGTTATAAAAGGTGACTCCCACTGTTAAGTTCCTCATCAAGGAGGTGGATTCATGTCTGGGTGCCCACATAGAAGCTTCATAGAGAGAATGAGCCTTTAGAGACTGGGTGCTCAACCCTGTATGAAAATCAAGCTCTTTTAAAGGTGATTAAAGAATCACTGGTCCTGTTAAAAAACTGGACATCCCAAATTACCTAAAATCATTGGTCACTTTTAGAAAATCTTGGCTCATAAGCCTAAATCCCATCCCCTCTACAAAACGGAACCTGCCAGGATCTTGCATAGCTGAGTCTTGCTTTCAAGGCCTGCAAGAAGGGCTGGTCCAAGGAGAATTGGCACCCTAGGCAAGCTGTGTACCTTGGCACCCCCACCACTTCCAATATAGAGGAAAATAAGAAGTCTAGAATGAACTTTTACATGTGCGTATTTGATATTCAAAACGAACAATAAAACAATAAAAACACAAATGTTTTAATCATTGTTTCACATGTTTCATTAATCCTAACACAATTATACTGAAAAAAATCTACCAGAATGTATTATAATACATGTACAATTAAAAGAAAATTCTCATGAAGATTTGTGGAAAAAATTAGAGCTTGGCTTTTCATGCTTTCAGTTTCTGTTATTTAGAATGATGTTCCTGTTATTTTGTCCTGCATATAATTTTGGCACCCCCTCCCCCAAATTTTGGTGCCCAAGGCAACCACCTAGTTCGCCTAGTGGTTGGACTGGCCCTGCCTGTGAGGAGAATATGGGCATGGCTTAACAGTAATTTGAAGTATTCACGTGTGTCATTCGGTGGCTAAGAGTTCATTCATCTACAAATAATGTGCCAAAATGTATATTAGGTAAGAGCACTTTGGTCCAACTTTGGTGATCCCTGTAGAAGGGGAGGGATGGAAGAAGTACCAACAGGTCTCCCTCTTAGCAGCAAATGGTATATATAGACCAAATTGGAATTAAAAACATTAATGCAAAAGCAGCAAGAGTGTAAATACCACCTCGAGGGCCATACTACCATGGAAGTCTGGCTCTCCCCTTGATCAGAAAATCAATGCTAGCATGTGATTTCTGATCTCAGTTACCATGGGGTAAATCTGGAATCACATCATGGACTTCAACAGTATTACTGTATTAACAGACACCAGATTTTACTTCCACAGAGCCAATGCACTTCTCCCCTTAAATGGATGTGAATCAGGAGTTGAAATCATTGGGGCTTTGCCAGTTCTGTATGGGGTTAAGTGAGAGGCCATTCAAATTGATCCCTTAGCTGCTTAAATGGGACCCAGGTGGATTTCAGCCGCCCACATCCCAAAAAGCAATTCAAAATGGCTCTGGACCAGCAGCCAGAAATCTCATTAAGTGCCTGAATTCATTAGTCCCTGAACTCATTCATCCATCCTGGCCTGCAAAGTTCCCTAGGCATCAGTGCCAGGGCTTTTGTGCCTGCCGAAACTCTTTGGGAATTCAAATTGCTGCTGAGAGGCATTGAAGCTTTGCCTGGGTCCTTCGAGAGGCCTCTACTGGTAGATGCCCAAAAGCCAGGTTTCCTTCACATTAAAAGCACTGAATTCAGTGGAAAGACAGTGAAGGCAGGAGTGCCCAATAGCCGAGTGGTTAACAGACTTGCCCAGGAAATGGGACACTGGGGTTCTAGACCTTCTTCACCTTGAGATGCTTTGAACCCACTTCTTCCACTTCGTAAAGAGGGACATAACCACTAGGCTATAAAATTATGAGCTGAGCATATTCTCCCCCCTTCCTATGGGGGCTGGGCCACTGGAGAGCCAAGAAGACAAGAGCCCTGGGGCCAGAAAGAGGGCAAAGAAGAGACAGCTGGGGTGCAGCCAAGTGGTTATGGCAGTCTTTTGGAAGGGAGAAGGAGTTTGGTTACCACCAAACTAGGCAAACTAGCATCTGCCTTTGGAAACCTTTAGGGAGGTTATCTGCAGATCAGAGACTAGGCAACGTGAATTGTAAGTGAATGGAGATGCCTAATGGGCAGCATCTATTCAGTGCCACTACACTTGAGCGGGGCAGGTACAACAGTACTTCGTCTTTCTAGAGTTAGTTAGTTTTATTTCTACGGTTTTCTGAATCACCATTTGGAAGTGCCTACTGCTCCCTCTTCTCTATGCAGAACTGCCAAATTGCTCTTAGACACCTCCACCATCTCTTTGCTATCTGCATGGAGATCCTAAATGCCGAAACCTAGTCAAGCGGGAAACCTAATACTTGGCCATGGCAGCACTTGCATGGTGGCACTTCAGGAACCCCTTTGAACATAGGCGACTGGTAGGGAGGGCATTTGGCCCCCCTGACAGGGCTGTCCCCGATGGTGGCATCTGTGGGTGCTCACCAGTCCCATCCCAGCCGCCAATGCTGCCAGTGGTGTCCACGGGTGCTTGCCAGTCCCGTCCCCGCTACCGCCGGCGGCTCCTGTGGGTGCCCCCCCAACCTCAGGAGGCACCAGCTGTCCATGCCTTTGAACCCTGGCCTTACGGCCTTTACATTTCAATTCTTTTCCTTTCTGTCTGTTTTTTCCCTGCCCTGTAATTCCTGAAACGTTTTCAGACTCTCACTGGCTTCTCCCTGAGTCCCAGAACAATGCTTGCTGATTTTGAAAAAGTAGCCAGTGAGTGGCTCAGCTAGAATCGACTTAAGCGTGCTGCATGTTAATCAGCTTCTCTAACAAAAAGACAACATAGGTTTTCCCTCCTGTGAGATAGTTTCCCCTAAAACAAGGACTGCATGGACTCCTAAGAGAAATTACATGCATTTTGAACCAAAGCTACAATCCTAATCATGGCGCAACAGGGGTGTCTAGCTTGTTTGGCATGGAAATCAGTGATTTAATTTGTTTAATGTCAAAATAGAACAATGGATCAAAGCAACACAATCCTCAATGGAAAGAAGGGGTTTTTAGTAGAAGGGGAAAATGTGACAGATGCCCAGGCTGAGCACCTCCAGTCTTTAGGGAAGTTCACATCAGTTTTTCAGAGATGCTTAGTGCCTGCAGAGTTCCCCGACTAAAATGAGGGAGCAGTGTTTAAGGTGTTATCATATCTATTTCCGCACCTCAAGAGGAGGCCAGCTGTACATCCTCAAGTTTGCCCCTAGACTAAGCATTGAATTAGCAACAGAGAAGAGAACAGAAACCAGTCCCCGTCCCCACCCTGCTCCCATTTCTTGTCCGCCCTTTGTTTTAACGGTAAATTCAAACAGGGGACCACGGACAGTGGTACCTACCCGTTGTTGTCAAAGTGAAGGCGCAGCACAGCCCAGACAGTGACACAAATTGTAGGCGTGCCTGCAAAAGACAAGACGAAGTGATTGCTATGCAGTTATTCATTTCTGCTTTCATTTATACATCTGTCACCGATCCCTTCAAATGCAGAAATTTCTCCTCTGAGGTTTCATGTCCTACGGTTTACAGGTAGGGCTAGGCATCTATGAGTTGCAGGCCAGATCTAGCCCACGGAGTCATTGGAGCTGGCTTTCTGCGTGCATCAGCAGGGACTTCTCCCGCGTTGCAACAGGGAGAAGATGTGGCCGCAGGGGCTTCCCTCAAGCCACAGTGGGAAGCAGCAGGTGACAGGTCCTAGCAGCCACCCACCTCTGACCTGAGCTGGGTCATTCTGGCCCACAGCCTGAAAAGGCTGGCAGCTCCTGGCTACTAGGAAAATTAATGCAACTATTAATACAGCAAGGCACTAGAGTTTACAATGCAATTGCTACCGAGAGGGAGCCAGGACTCCTCATGCTGCAAGCATTTATCTTGAGAAGAAATTCAATTCAAATCTAAAGATGATAAGCTGACCTCAAGGAGATTGCACGGATGTAAATGGCAACAAAAAGGGTTCTGCATTATTGTAGAGTGATGTTAGACTCAGCAATATGAAGAGTTCACCCTTCACTGAACAGGAGACCTTCGGTAAACTGAGGCACTCCCTTTAGTCGAGGTAGTACTTTGGTACTGCAATCATTACACAGCTGTACATGGCATGCTTTAATGAAAGGGACCAGGCTTTTATATGGGGCAAATAAGGTGGACTCAACCTAGAGCTCTCCAAATAACTAATTTGCAAGTTCCTATAAGAACCAAAAACTCAGGGAAAAATGTTAACTTAGGGCAAGCAAAAACGACACTTTTTTTCAGTTATCTGCTAAAATGAAAACAAACTCAAAAAACCAAATGCAATGACCAAACAAAAAACCCCTATATGATCATGAGCAAAACATTTCATTTTCTGATTTTTTTTAACCCATTCCAATATTTGGATGAAATGTATATGAACTAAAAATCTTTAACATTTCATTTAAAAAGCATGGGAAAGAAACAGACTTTATTTTTCTGACTCTTTTTCTGGCTGAAATAATTCAGTGAGAATGCACACACATTCTTGGTCAACCTAAACCTGCATTTTTTTTGGCAAGGAAAATAGCTGAGTGACAAGATTTGCCAACCTCTAATCCATCACTACTAGAAAGATAAAAGAGATGGAGGGGAAAAAAGATGTAGCTAACCCTTGGGTGTAGCAGTGAGTAAGACTGTCACAAGTTGACAGCAGCAATTACGTTTCATACACTTTGCAAAATTGTGTTGGTGTCACATTAATTAATCAGTAGAATTAATTTGCTCAGGTGAGTTGCTATCAAACCTTACACTGCAGCTGTTACAAAAGAAAATATCCTTTTAATAACCTTTTCAGATGAGTGAAATTCAGCTCTTTTAAAGAAGAGGAAAAACAGATATTTTAAACAGAAATACTTTCAACAGAAAATGAAATTAAATAGGAACAAAAATAAATGTTCCAGAGAGAAAGAGAGGGGAAATAAAGCATACTGAACGTCAATCTATTTTTAATATTCTCTCTCATACTTAGGAAAGATCAAGGTCTTTGTGTGCTTAATAGATGTACAAAAAAACCAGAAAAGGAATATTTGATGTGTCTGTAAGCATAAGAATATCTAATGGGTATGATGACAATCTTTAACTTACAATGAAGCAGATAAGGAGTAACTCTAATAAAAAGGCAGTGGAATTACAGTGATGAAGAATAAGCGTGAGGTTCGAATCAAATGCAAACACAACTCAGACAGCACTTGTCCTGGGTGCGAGGCTGTGTAGGGCCCTCTGCAATAAAGGTGCACACACATGCAGGCATATATGTGCACACACACTCCTTTGCTATAAATCAAAAACCGTTCAGAAAAGTTAGGTTATTTTCTATAATCCTTTTTAACTGCATATGAACCTCCAGCTCTGGGTGAGATCAAAGAGGATGAAACTATTGTTAAAAAAACAAAGCTATCCCTGCAGCTCTGATCAGTCACAGGAGTTACAAGGTATGTCATAAGAACATGGGATCTCCCCTAAAAGGATCACCTCAGTTTTGCATACTTAAGGGCGTGAATAGCCCAGATAAGCACGCACATTTATCATTTTAATTAATTATATGCTAAATGCTGACATTGCATCAGCTTAGACAGAAGAAAAGACCCAAGTCCTGCAGACTACTGAGCTATCTTTGCAAATTTCTAAGCACTCAGCTCCTTCACAGGCTGCTCTCAGCACCCGGAAGTATGGGAACCACATGCAGGTTTTTCTTAGTGAAACAGAAAATACTGAAGCTATACTCCAACTTGAATGCTTCCTGCAGGTCTGAATATGCTCAGCATGAACTGAAATAAATAGGAATTGTGAGACGTTTCCATCTCAGGATATGGCTTAACTCATAGGTTATTCCCTGCTAATCATGAACGCTGTGGATATTACCTATTCTGTTATATTTATAAGTAGACTAGATAAAACTTATTAATATTTAACTACAAAAATATTCACTTGAGACAGGAAACTGTCTTATGACTATGGGATTGACTGGTTTCAAACGTTGCTCTTTAATGACATGGATTGGAAATGCTTTTGTCAGTTTATACATAAGCTTTCTTGTGTTTCTTTCATGTTTAACAATGTATTCAGATGCACCTACAAAAATGAAAATCACGTACATGAAACAGGCAAAGACCCAAGTCCCAATTACTTCTACTAGGATCTGCAGAACATCACTGGCTGCATCCCCAAAGCAGGAACACGTGTTTTCCCAGGGACAAGTTGCAGCAGCACCTTGTCCCTGGGGAATGCCCATGCCAAGCACGCTCTGACTCTTACCCTGGGTGGGGTAGGGGAGACTGGGGCCAGCAAGTGTGCTGGTCCCAGAAGCCTTACCTGGGGTCCTGGGAGCCTCAGGGAGCTGCAGCTGCAGCACTCCTGCAGCGGGGAGCCTGGCTGGCAGCTGGACTGTGGCTCCGGGTGGCCAGGCTCCGGTTTTGGGCGGCATATGTTGCGGCCATGTGTGCTGCCCTGTTTTTTGGTGTGGGTTTTTTTGTCCAAGGGATCTCCTGAAGTCAAGAAAGCCCCACCGTGCTGCAAAGCAGCAGCACGGGGAACACCTGCAGGTGCTGCATCTGGCTTGGGTTTGAATTACACTCCAAATCTTCGGGGGAGTCTGTGGTGGTGGCAGCCAGGAGCCACCGCCTGAACTGCTTAGAAATACGCGGTGTGGGCCAGGGGCTCTCATCTATTATGGGGGGCTTATGGGAGGGGGGCTCAGTCCCCTTGGGCCCCCCTGTATTTCAAACCCTGCCTGTTGCACATCTGCAGTCATTTGGACGTGGCCACTGGGTTCAATTAACCTGGGAGGCTCCAAATAAGTTCTTCTCTCATGGTTCAGAAGCTCTATAGTCTAGCATTGAAGGGCATGTGTAGACAAAACAGGGGCCCTAAATTAAAGCGGTGGATTTTAAAAAACACACACCTTACCTGTCTTTCTGGCAGGGAGGGGAGGGCGAGCTGCTGGTGGGTGGAGCAGTCCCTGGGCTGCGGGGAAGGGCTGGTGCTTCCCTCCATGGCAGTGGCACCATCTCCCCTCCCAGGTGGCACCCACCTGCAGACACCCAGATCGGGTGGTCCCAGGGGACACCACAGCCACGGAGGGAAGCACCGGGCCTCTGCGTAACTCAGGCAGGCTCTAGGTTGGGGGGGGTGGGGAAAGATCAGGCTCTTCGCTTTTCTTGGGTGGAGCTGCTTTCCCAGGCTGCTGCCAGGCTGCCTGTAGGGCTTCCTGCAGAGCCGTGGAGCTCCACGGGCCCAGTGCTTCGCTCCACGGCCATAGGGGCAGCAAATTAAAACTCCTTGGAGGAGTTTTAGTTTGCTGTGCCCCAAGTCATTTAAGGTGCATTACGCCACCTAAGTTCCTACAGCATCTGGAATTGCTGTGCAATACGCTGCTGAGGCATGCAAACGCCGATATCATTAAAGTGGTGCAAAAATATTTAGCCCGCTTTAAAGTGTTGTGCACACATGGCTCTTGTTTCATCTACACATGGCCGAAGGGACCGGATTAGGACTTAGAGAACATTGTTCAAGTCCTGCCTTTTCCACTGACTTGCTGTGCAACCTTGAGAGAATCCCTCCAACTTCTTCGTCCTTGTTTCTCTTCCCATTTTTCACCGTTTCCAGCATTTAATATTCACAGTAGGAACTTCTCATAACTGTTGTCTGTTATGAACCCCTAGGCACTAACATAATGCAAAAAACAAGAATGGGAGCCATTCACATCTATTAAGGTTTCATTGTGGCATTTTTTAAATTTACAAGACATTAGTTTTATTTCCAGTCTGTCTTGAAGCTAAATTTCATTTAACAGAAGTCCGATACTGAGCTTAACCTTGAGAGTCTGTGTTTTAAACCTCATACATGCACTTTTAATGAAAGGTCTCTTTTTTTGGCCTGCCATCTGGGCTCATTAGTTAAAATGTCAAACACATACCATTTGCATGAAGAAACAACAGGAATAAATCTAGCTCTGAAGGTTTAACATCTACATAACTGCATAAGTTATCATCATGGGGTCCTACTCTCTAAAGAACATTGTTTTCCCTCACCAATATAACCAGTTCCTGTTTACCTATCCATTGCTTGATTTTCATTTATGCTGAGCAGGTCTCACTTGGACATGTTTTCAGTGTTTTCAGCCTAGCTGTCATCTGTGAGCAACAAATGAAACCACAGGGAATAGCCCAGAGTTGGTATTTCTGATTTGATTAATCAGAAAACTTCCTCTGACATTAAGAATACTTCTTGCAAAGTGAAATGCTCCAAGGGGGACTGTGAGTTTGCTGGTCCTGATTTCAATTCACGTCTGGCTAGACCAGGAGACAATAACCTACTTAGTCTATAATAGCAGTGCTGAAATGTGCAATCCTGGTGGGAGAAACCCTATTGTTTTCTACATTGCTTAGTCCACATAAAATGGAGATGTTGGGCTGTTTTGTTTATTACCTTTTTAACTATTAGAAAAAAATCTTGCTGGCGTCCAAGAACATCCATCTTGATTTTCTCAAAAAAAAGGAGGAGGATCCAGAACACCATATACCAGACCAAAGAGGAATACAGATGAGGTCAAAAGGCAATCCCATCTATTCGAACTTCAGCAAAGCAAGATTATTACCATGCAAGGACTTTCTCTGGTCCTTGCAAGGACTTTCTGAAAGGATGGATTTGCTCCTTTCAGGATGCATGGCTCCCTGACACACACACATGGAAAACAAAGACATGCTAGGGATTAGAGCAGATAACTTGAGATACTATGGGGAGAACTCTTATTTTACCCAGCAGAAAACCAAAGTACAGCCTGCAACCGTCTCTAATTTATCTGAGTCAATGTAAGAGCAATTTGATTGCCCACACTGAGCATCTATGTGCCCCCATTATAGGAATAGGGAGGTGTCTGCCTGTCTCCAGAGGGAGACACTATTTCTATAACGGGGCACTTGTGCACCCAGTGGAGTAATACAATCACTCCTACATTTTAGTTGGGTAACTCCGAGTTGGTCACAAGCTGCACTTCAGTCATCCATTGGGTGAAGTGAGATTCTGCCCTTCATGGGCTCTTCTTTGATTATGCTCATCGTCTCTTTTCAGTCAGTTCCTTAGTTCAAGCAACCCTTTCACATGGTGCTAGAGGAATAAGCAAACCCACACATAACAATTTTTACCTACCCCAGCCAATGATGGTGTACCAGTAGAAATATCTCCTTTCTGGAAAAAAAGTCTCCACCAGCAAGGTGAAAAGATACAGTCCCTCGATGAACAGCCAGAAATAATTAGACATGACACAATAGTGGAAAAAGACCATCACCGCCTTGCACTCCACCTGCAGGAAACAAACACAAATAACATTGCTTCATTTGTGCTTCACTGAGGGTTGACAATCGGACGCACAGCTAGCTCTTGAAATCCTCCAATGAAAACTAAAATATATGGATGTATATATATAAAATATATAAATACTAAAATATTTGGATATGCATCTAGCTGGGGTCATCTAGACCCAGCACTCTTCCCTGCCTATGCAGGGGGTCGGACTCGATGATCTATTGAGGTCCCTTCCGGCCCTAACATCTATGAATCTATGAATCTATAAAACAATCCTTTTTTTTTTATAACATTCAAATCTAAAATAATCATGAAAAAAGCTCAAAGATTGCAGCTCTAAAAGCAGAGAGCAAATTTTAGCAGTTGTGAGAGGTTTTGAGAACGTCTCCAGATAGCACAAATGCTTCTACCACTAGTCGGGGAGTGAGGGCAGGTCAACAATGGCTGCTAATTGGTAGACTGCAATTCCCCGAGCCTTAAGTTCAGAGAAGAAAAAAAAAATTCTGTATAAGGAAGTCTAAGGAAGATGTTTAAACAGAATTGAGAGTGTGCAAGGCCCTGAGATTGCAAAGAGGATGTATCCTGCTGTGCAAAATTCAGAATTTCACTTCCTGGCAATTTATAGGAGCTGTCACTCTCTGTCAGAGACTGCAAAGTGAGGATAATGGTAAAGTGATTTCCTAGACAAAGGCATACCAGCTTTTATTAATATATGGAGGGAAGAAAAATGTAGACAAAGCTCCAGACCCATTTGGACAAGCACTGAGAGAGTGCTGAACACTCTACCAATGCTCTGAATAGGGCATACTTGTCTTTCCAATGTCACATCCCAAGGTGATGCCATAAGCATTGCCACATTGTTCACCTGCAAAGTTATTCCCATGCCGTAATACCATGGAATAACCCAACCAACTAGAAGCTCTTTTCTGTGACCTGGCAGGGAAGGAGAGATCCAATGGCTTCTCTTTGATGTAGTGGAGAGGCCCTCAGGTGGTATAAATTGGGAAAAGTCCAGTCACTTCAAGAGAGCTATGCCAACTGAAGACCTGGCCTCCAGAATGGTAATTTGAACCATTTCTGATCCCCAGACATCTCAAACCAATAAGCCAAAGCACTAAGTTTGAACAGAGATACAGGTACGGATAAAAGTGAAAAAAAATGTGGCCCAAGCTTAAACTCTGAAGGCTACTTACATCAAACTACTTTTTCGAGACGGCAGTCTACCCCTTCTGTTGACTGGCTATTTGTTCCAACCCCTTTCCATTCACTTCCTTAATAATCATTTGAGTTCAGCCTCATTTCACCAGCCTTCATGCTCCCTCTATCCTTCATTCCTGCCTCTCTCCCTTCCGGGCATGCCAGCTACTGATACTCTAAAGCATGGTGGAGATGAAAAATATTGTGAGAACCAACCACTGCTTTCTTCCCAGGTTTGTGGCACAGACTCATAGGAAAGTAGGTTGGAAGGGACCTTAAGAGGTCATCTAGTCGAGGCCTGTTGAAGCCTTTATCAAACCTCCCTGAGTCTTCTCTTCTCCAGACTAAACAGTCCTAGTTCTATCAATTTTTTTATCAAAAGTCATGTTTCCCAGGCCTCTAATACTTTCCGTTCCTCTGTGCTGGCCTTTTATTAATCTATCAACTTTGTTCTTGGAAAAAAAAGATGTGGAAGACAGGCAAGGGTAGGGGGCGAGGATTGGTTTTTTGGTGAGAACAGTGTGGAGCCGCATACACATAACTTCTCTTTACTCCATCCCAGCCTATCACATCTGTGCACACAGTATGGCCGTGAGAATAAATTTGCCCCCAAAATGTTCAGTAAACACAAAAAGACAAGATGCGATGTTAATAGCAACTCTACCACGATCAAGCCACCACCCCTTTTGTCACTGCTTGAAGTCAGATCCTTTTTCTTTCCACTATATTGTCTCTCGTTGCCTGAGAACTCAGAGCAATGGATATAAAACATAGATAAAACATAGATAAAACATAGAACTTTTGGACCCCCGGCTAAAGAGGTCACTAAAGTCCTAAAGTCCTATGTTTTATCTATGTTTTATCTATGTTTTATCTATTCAAATCGTAAGCTCTTTCTGATATAGAACTTAAATATTCCTTACCATGTTTTTATACAGAGCTGAAAACAAAGGGCTGAAATCTCAGCCCAGGATTTCAGGGGTGACTGTGGTACAAACATTCAATAAACTTCATCTTTTTTATGGGAAAAAAAAAATATATATATAGCAAGCAAAAAATGCTGCTGCCTTTTTTTCACTTACAGTAGAGATAAAACAGTGGCTGCTATCCTGTTCAGCATACAGGACCCCATCTTTAATGAAGACTGATATTGCTCGCAGAATAAATGAGACAAAGAGATTCATGTGGATGAAGTTGCGGGTACAGTGAAGCTTCCTACAAACAAAAGAAAAGATAGAAAGAAAAAATATATATGTTTTCTTTCCTGATATTAAAACACTCCTGGCTGTGCCTTCTAATAGCTGCAATAACAGTAATGTCTAGGAAAACAGGAGTCAGTGTAATAGTGATCCCAACCAATCCAACAACTTTGAAAATGACTCCTTACTTAGCTAACTGAGGATTACTTGGGCAATTTTTATACCTATTAAGCTCTTGGGCCAAATATCACATGGGAATGAATTCCATTGGCTAAATATATACATTTCATCTCTGCATAAGACTTTTCAATGGATTTTTTCTAATACTGGTATATTTTATTTATACAGCTTTTCTACCCAATAGGGCTGTGCCAAACAGCACTGTTTCGTTTCGACCTCCGTTTCACCATTTCGCTGGGACACTGTTTCGTTTCGAGTTGTGTTTGGTTTCGAAGCACTGTTCCGTTTCTTTTCGTCGAAACCGTTTTGCCCATAGGCTATAATGGGGAAGCATGAAACTGCCTATAACTTTGTCATTTTGAGGCAGATTTAATGAAAATGGCAGGCATGGTAGCCCCTGCTGAGGCCATGAGGCTTGCCAAGTTTCAAGGAGATAGGTGCAGGGGGTTCTGGGAAACTGCACCTCAAGCTGCTGACAAGCAAAACTGGTGACGTGTGTGACTATGTGTGTGTGCATGTGTGTTAAGGTACAGTGAGGTGAAAACAGCAGGTGTGGTAGCCTCGTCTGAGGCCATGACCTGCCAGGCATCAAGAAGATAGGTGCAAGGGTTAACGAGGTTCAGTGCTTGTTTGAATTTACAAACCTTTTTTCATAGACGAGCCTATGAACTGCACTTCATCAGCCTCCTAGGTACAGAAACTCACGGACTCACTATAGACAGTGGTATTCTGGCACACTGCGACCTAATGGACATCTGGCTCCCCAGGTACTTCTGCACTTTTACCTGCACTGCTACATCCCCCTTCCCCCCCACCCCAGCCTGTCCCTCACCCCCTGATGCCTCCATTTCCATTTTCACTGATTGGCTTTCTTGCCTGCACTGCATGCCAGCCTTAGGCTTCTTTATTATTCCTTCCATCCAGGAACAGCACACACACACACCAACTGCAGGTGCTTCCTCAGCCTGCCAAAGGGTTTTTCAGCCTAAAAGCTGGCATCCCAGGCAGCTAAGCTGAGCTCACCTGAAGCTTCACAACTCCACTGCAACCAGCAAGCCTCAGGCCTGTCAAAGGCATGACGGGTCTGGGCTTTCCCCAGCCAGGACTGTGTGTGTGCATGTGGTGGCTGAAGATTATGGTACCTCCTACCCACCTTTCACCAGAAGGATCCTTGTTTCTGGCATTTCCTGGGGCCGCTGCACCAATGACAGTTCCAGCAGGCCTCCCAACCCTGGCAGAGTGCAGTTTTAGTGGTCATGCCCAGGACCTGGGGCCTCCTCCTTCCCCATAGCCCCAGCCCATACCTCCAAGTTCATCCTGGCACCGGAGCTCAGCAGGGACATGTTCTTCCCCTGCTGGCTGGTGATGTAGCGAGTGCCCCCTCCAGCTCTGAGCTGGGCATGAAATGTTTTTTAAAAAAGGAAAAAAGGAAATAGGTGCAGATGGAGTGAGGAGGATGGCATTCACTCCATCTGTACCTGGAGCTTGGGGAACCTCAGCAGCAGGAGGTTCACCTTCAAGAACACCAGTGGCTCCACCAAACCAGGATCCAAGCAGGTGCGGTGGGGTGTCACTACGTCCCCAGCTATGCTGAAAGCCCTCTCACTTGGAACACTGGTCGGTGGACAGGACAGGTGCTCGCAGGCAACCATGGCCAAATCTGGCCACATCTGGCTGTGGTTTGCCCAGTAGGCCAAAGGGTTGCACAGCAGCAGCTCCATGTTCTCAGTGAGAAAGGCAGCCACCAAGACCTGAGCGCGACTTGCCTGATGGTGCCTCTGGACCCCACCATGGAAGCCATGCCTTTGGCCTACATTGGCAACACCTGTGGTGGAGGAGGAAACTGGCTGGTGGATGGTGTGCTGGCATGGGACAGTGAATCCCTCTCTTCCACATCCCCCTGCCTCTGCCGTTCTGGCTCCCTGATGCTCTTCACCAGCACCTCCATCCACTGATCCAGGGTTTTGCTGCTGCATACACTGACACTGCCCTTCACCCTCAGGTCACACTCTGTGGCCAGCATGTGAACCATACTGGGCCACAAGGGATCAAGCCAGTTCCTGATGTCCTCCTTCAGCCACCTCACCAGTGCCTGCATGTCGGGTGACAGCGGCTTGCCCCAGCCAGGGAAATCAATCCCCTGGAATGTCTCCATTTGGTTCTCCAGTTCCCTCACTAGGGGATCACCTGGCTGAGGAGGGCATCAGCAGCACTGAGGCTCTTGGTGGCCTCAAGGAAGGGCTCAGGGACAAACAGTTGTGCCTGTTTGTCCCACAGCATCTTGCCCCGCTTGATGCTCTGGTCGAAGTAGTCTGCCACTTTCCTGCATTTTGAAATGAGCTTACTGGTGGTGCTGACACCATCACCAGAAGCTCTGTCCCCTTCCTAGGCATCCCTGACTACGAGGGGGAACTTCCCTGTGCCACACAGCAAATGCCAACAAAGTTGGCATCATGGACCGCTTTGATCATATTGGCCCCATTGTCGGTGATCGTAAACCCATGTGTGAGCTTGCCCTGCCCAATGAGCCACCCCTGCACTAAGCGGTTCATGGCCCCCATGATCTCTGTTACCATGTGGGACTTACCCATCACCTTGGCTTGAAGGAGAGCCCACCGATGGCCTGACTGATCAAACCAGTGCCCTGTGAGGAAGTGGTAGGTGTCATCTCCACCCCAGCTACTCCAGATGTCCAAGGTGAAGTGTAAGGCCACCTGTGGACCTGCCTTGTGCAGCTCCTCCCTCAGGTACTCCCTGCATGCATCATACAGGGAGGGCACCACCGTTCTGATGAAGGTGGTGCATGCAGGCACTTGGTAGGATGGGGCCATGAGCACCATGAGCTGCCTGAACCCTGGCCACTCAACTAAGGAGAAGGGCTATCCATCGACAGCAAGCATCTTTCCAGTGCTCTGGGTGATCTCACTCACCCTTGCAATGCCCCCTCATTTTTGTCTGCCTTTCCCCCACTGTTCCAGGGTGGCCTGCCTCTGCTTTGCAGGGATGGGGGCTTTGGAGAGAGAGGGGGACTTCCCTTTAGGCATGCTCCCACTGGTGCCAGGCTGAGGAGCCAGGGCAAGGGGTGGTGCCTGCGGAGATGCATCAGCATCGTGGTGCTCATGTGTTTTGTTCCCTTGCCCCAACTGGTTTTGGCTTGGCAGTGCAGGCAGATAACGTACGTGGGATCATCTGCCAGCTCAAAATGATCCCAGACCACACTACCCGCTTGCTTCTTGGGTGCAGGTGTATGTGTAGATGCTGCACTTTCCTCCTCCTCAGCAGGCAGAGGCACAGCAAGAGGAGGAGCAGACTCAGCTGAGCCACTTGCCTCCACCTCTACGTCAGCCTCCTCTGAAGTGCCTTCTGGGGAAGGAGACCTGGCTCTAGTGGAAACTTGAGGGCTGTGGAACACAAACACAGATGGTTCCCCCTCCATCCCCAGAATTTCTCTTGCTAGGGCATTGAGATCCAGCTCCAGCTCCAGCTCTTGCTCTGGCACTGGAAGGCTCAGCATGGGAAGTGAAATGGGAGTGGAAGAGCCTGTCATGCTGGTGCTGGTGCTGCTGCTTGTTGTCATGGTGGTGGTAGTGGGGGTTATGGCTGGTGCTCTTGGAGGGGATGCAGTCTCAGGCACAGGCAGTGGCACTGCTCTCCTCTCCCTGTTTCCTGTATAACTAGTGGAAGCCTCATGCCGGCTTGTTGTAGCAAAACGGCTGCATCTCAGTTTGGGGAGAGCGGGGGGAACCTACAGCTCTCCCTCTATCCCCTCTTCCACCCCTCCCTGAAGGCTTGCCAGCTGCTTTTTCAGCACACTTCATGGTGTGTTTCATAGTGTCCTGTCTTTGCCTTGGTGTGCTGGAAAATCTGTCTCTTCTTCTGTAATGTTAAATATCCGATTTATGTACTATATGTAGATAAGATAATTGTATGTGTGTGTATTTATGTCATGTATGTATGTTTGTATGTATGTATTTAAGTAATAAATAAAAACATCAATATATAAATGGATGTATGTGTTTTCTTATATAAATTCTATATTATAATATGCAATGTAATTATGCTGTGCTTCCCTGCGCAGTGAATGGAATGCACACTCTCAGAGAAAGCACAGATTTGAAAAGAATCAAAATAGACTAAGCAAAAAGAGGATTTTGGAGGAGGAATAAATTGAAAGGAATCAATCAATAAATATAATAATAAAATAAAAGGGTATAAAAAGAAAACAAAAGGTTTTACTGAATCCCACTTGCTAGGCTAGCAAGTAGGAAATGAATGGTAGCCCTTGTTGTCTAACACTGCTGAGCTTCCAGAAGACAGCTCAGTAACTGACCCCAAGCCAGAAAGCAGCTCAGTTCAAACAAAGCTGCTTTTTATGCTGTTTTTCCATGCTTCCCCCAGAGCACTGGGACTGGAAGGGACCTCATGGAAGGATCACAGTCCCTGGCCAGCTACACAGTCAATATGAGAGCAGTCCTTCCGCCCCTTTCCCCCTCCATCGCCTTACTTTCTGTTTCCCTGCAGGCAAGCCCAGCTTCAGCTTTGAAACTCAAAACGTTTTGAAATTTTCAAAATGTTTCAACTGCCCTCGTTTTGTTTCGAGGTTGTTCCGAAGCCCTTAGTTTCATTTCTATACAACTGTGCTGGCCCCAGCAGCCTTACCTGACGTCCTGGGGGCTGGGGATGCTGCAGCCGTGGCACCCCTGCATCTGGCAGCCTGGCCGGCAGCCAGAGCATGGCTCTGGGGGGCCAGGCTCCAGTTTTGGGTGGCACACGCTTCAGCCATGTGAGCTGCCCCACTTTTTTCCACCTGAGTATTTTTGACCCCAGTATCTCCCAGAATCAAACTCCTCTCCTCCCCCCACCCCATGCTACAAGGTAGCCATGCAAGAAGTGCCTGAATGGGTGGTATGTGGCACTGTAGATCGGTTTGTGGTGTCATGTACTGCGTGGCTGCACTCATCTGGATGCAGCCTCTGATTCTAAAACAAGCATATCATCCTGCACATCATCCTATTTTTGTCACTGCTTAGGTAAAAGATTGGATGGAGGGGGAGAGGAGATGGGTCTTGGTCTCTTTTTCTATGCCTACAAACAGGTCACCACTCATTCACAGCAACTCACCTGAAACGACATAGGATAACCATCGCCATGGTGAGGGAAACAAGAGAAGTGCTATATCCAACTGTGTACAGGGCCTTCACAGACAGGTAGTAGTAGTCCTTGAGAAGAAAACACCATGTAGTCACAAACATCACCTTCACCTCTTGGGCCAGGATCTGGCTGACTTAACTCACAGGACTAATTCCAGTCATGCCAGACTTCAGTGCCATAAACAGGTTTTGGGTCTTACAGTGTTTGCTAAAGTTTCCCTTTATGTTTCACTGTGTATTGTCACTGCCTCTGGTACAACCTGAGCTGGCACTGCATTACAGAACCGACTCTTAGAGTAAAGGTTGAACTCTTATCATTGCATTGACTACTCCATATCGATCTCAAAGTCAGAAAGGATTACATTAAGGGCAGACTGGGTGTGTCTACACATGCATTTATGGCAGCTTAAATTTACTGAGCAGTAAGTTACTGTGCAGGAAGCGGAAATAGGCTGGCGTCTACACGTGCAGATGACCTGGAACTACATTTAGTCCCAGGTCAGAGCAGCGTGCCATGTGCCCCTGTGGCCACCAGGGGGAGCTCCAGCCTCTGGCCACATGACTGCCAGCTCTTGAGACTAATTTTAGTTTCGAATTGAAGCCAGAGCTGGCTGCCAGCACTTGGGACTAACTTTAGTCCCAAGTTGAAGCCAGGAGAGGTGGCCAGCCAGGAGTCCTGGGGCTGGGCTCAGGCCAGCTCTTCAGTGGCTGGGCAGACCCAGAAGGGAGGACTCCTGGGTTACTGTGCACTAATGCATCTACATGTACATTATTGTGCAGTAACTAAATGGGTGTAAATTTGATACCTGCATGATGCAGGTATCAAATTTACACTGAAGTCAGTGTAAGTCACCATATTTACTGCACAGTATGGGCATGTACATCTAGATGTGCACCCATATTGCACAGTCATTTCAGTTATTGCACAGTAGATACGCATGTGTAGACATGTCCACTATGAACTCCTTGCTTAATTGGTGAGGATTCATTAGTGTATATAACAACTCGGTGCTATATGAGTTATAAGCTTACAGAAAAGCCCACAGTATAACAGAATATAAGGAAAACCTCAAGTGCTACTCTTTTGAGCTTGCATTTATATATGTGAATTATTTCACTTGGATCACCGTTCAGTGAATACAGACTGGACTCACAGCAAACACAGGCATGCTATGTCATTAACTTGTGATTAGCATTAAGTTATTTCCTACCTGGTTTACAGGGTCAGTGAAATTCTCATCAAAGCAGGCATCGTAGTAATGAGGGAAGGGTTCAGACCAACCATCTTCTGTGCAATTTCTGCTGATGTCCCCTATATTAAGTAACATAGCAAAGTTACAGTGTAGGACATTGTCAAATCCAACCAAAGAACATGCCTTCCTTGGAGCGTTGCCATATGATAGGTGGCTTGGGTGTTGCAATTCATGCGCTAATTATTTCAGAAGGCTGAAATTATGGGAATGTTGTAAACAGAGACTCTGTTGCCAGTGACAATAACTGGCATACTCATTTCCATATCAGGTTATTCAGGATGCTCTACCAGCTCGTGGCTTTTTTCAGAGCTTATGTCCAAGCTCTCTGACCTGACTGAAAAGCTTGAGGCCTGTTGGTGAATGCATCACGTTCTTGTTGGAGCCAAACCTGGGCAATGCTTTTGTTTTATTGAGCCGTTACAGTTACTTCTGCTCTGACTGTACCTGTTTGACTGTTTTGCTTTTGCATTTGGACTCAGTGGTTACTGTTTTAGAGCCACTTTGTTAAGGAGAACATGGTGTAAATGGCACTGACCTTATTTTTAATCATGTCTTCATCCCTAAATGGAGCTGAACATATGTGTAATCATTTTACTCTCTTAGGAGTCCTGTGCTACTTTGAGAATTTCTAGAATTTGTAATTTCACAATAGTTCTCAGTTTTCCAGGGAAATTTCCCATAAATCAAAGAGTCAGGTTTTTTTACTTCCTTCTGGTAATTGCTGTTAAGGTAGTAAATAAGAATGATAATGATATCATTGTTAGACTGTAGTAGTCACCAACTGATATATAAATGTTCCTCATACTGCTACAAGTAACACTCTACTAAGTGTGTTCTTGCAATGATTAGAATTGATCAGAAGCATAATATCCATAGTTTCATAGGAGCTAGGGTTAGGAGGGACCTGATCAGATCATCTAACCTGACCCCCTGCCACAGGCAGGAATGAATGCTGGGTTCACAAGACCCCAGACAGGTGATCGTCCAACCTCCTCTTGAATTTGCCCAAGGTAGGGGCGAGGACCACTTCCCTGGGAAGTTGCTTCCAGATTTTGGACACCCCAACTGTAAAATATTGCCTTCTGATCTCCAACCTAAACCTATTCTCCATCAGCTTATGACCACTGTTCCTCGTCACCCCAGGTGGTGCTGGGGAGAAAAGGGCTCTGCCTATTTGCTGTTGATCCCCATTGATGAGCTTATAGGCAGCCACCAGGTCCCCCCTCAACCACCTCTTGCTGAGGCTGAACAGGTTCAGGTCCCTCAGTCTCTCCTCATAAGGCCTGCCCTGCTGCCCTCTCACCAAGCGGGTGGCCCTCCTCTGACCCCTCTCCAGGCTGACCACATCCCTTCGAAGTGCAGCACCCAGTACTGGACACAGTACTCCAACTGCAGCCTGACCAAAGTCGCACAGAGGGGGAGGATCAGCTCCTTGGACCTACTTGAGATGCACCTTTGGATGCATGACAAGGTAGGGCTGGCCTTGCTGGCTGCGGTCTGGCATTGGCAGCTCATGTTCATCTTGGAGTCAATAATGACTCCGAGATCCCTTTCCGCCTCTGTGCTTTCAAGAGGGGAACTCCCCAGCCTGTATGTATGTTGTGGAGTCCTTCTCCCAAGGTGCAGCACCCTGCATTTGTCTACGTTGAACCCCACCCTATTCATATTTGCCTGCTTTTGTAGTCTGTCTAAATCTAGTTGCAGCCTCTCTCTCCCTTCAAGTGTGTCCACCTCGCCCCACATCTTAGTGTCATCAGCAAACTTGGACAGCGTACTTTCCACCCCCTCGTCCAAGTCGCTGATGAGGATGTCAAACAGTGCGGGCCCGAGGACTAAGCCCCGGGGTACCCCACTACTCACATCTCGCCAGGTTGAGTACAACCCGTCCACCACTACTCTCTGGCTGCGCCCCATCAGCCAATTTGTTACCCATCCGACTGTGCAGGCATCCATGCCACAGTCGCTTAATTTATTGATGAGGATGGGGTGAGAGACAGTGTCAAAGGCCTTCTTAAAGCCCACTTGGCAGGAAAAGAAGCTTGATTTTTCCTTTTGGAATAGGATTTAAACAATAAAAAACATAATTTTCCTTACCTAGGGGAGACTGGACTTTGGTTTCCAACAGGTCAAAATCACCTACTAAACCAGAGATATGGTCCTTCCCAGTCCCAGTGTCCATGGAAATCAGTCAACAGATGCCCACTGATTTCTATGGTCTTGGAATAAGGCCCAAACTTGACTTTACCTTTGAGAAAGGGTGTAATTGTAAATATGGATTCACCTGATAGTGTCTATGATAGATACACCTAGGCCAAAGTTAAATACACAGCGAGAATAAAACGGAGTTAAGGTTGAGAGTGAATCTCAGCATTGTAAAATAGACAACATTAGTGGGATACTGCAATCATCTCCAAAATAAAGGACTGGCAAGCCAAGAAATTCTGAGTTAAGATAAAATATAAAAGAAATATGAGGGCATAAAATGCAAAAATTACATCACCCAAACAACCTTAACTCCCACCTGGTGGGATACCATACAATGCCACAGGGTTTTGAATAAAGCACTTTAAATGATGTATTCCCAGATTATTTTTAACTGAATTTAAGGTATATTAGATATTATTGCTTATAATAATAGCTAGTATCTAACTGAGATTTTAGTGTGACATTGTAGCGTGTATTCCAGCATCCTGGAGAGAGATAAGCTATAGGCGAAGAGATATAAAAAAGGAGACAACAGAGCTGTTTCTCACCTGTGTGTGTTTGCGCCACATTATCCACTTCCCAACCTGAAGAAAAGAAATACATAACATAGATGACTATTTTAACTTACTGAGTGTTCCCCCCCAGCTCCCTTATCCAGGAAACATAAGTGACAGTCATTAGAAAACGTTTCCAGGTACCTAATCAAACCAATATTTGCAAGGGAGGCAATGCAGAAGGGAAATAAATACAGAGATACTTGTAATACGGCTCAGTAGCTCTGTGTGCTGTTCTGTTCCCAGAAGGGGGTGGTAAATAAGGGGGACAAAGCTGGCACTCAAGATGTGTGGACAGCTATCTCTTGCTTTATATGCAACTAATTTCCACAATAAGAAGGCCCTTGCTAGAGGCAACCCATGCTAGAGGCACATCTGCACAGGGAAGGTACCCCAAGGTAAACCAGAGTGTAATTTGGCTCTTGGGCCCAAGCTCCCCTTGCGGGCATTCCCAGCATGCAATAAGTGAAATGTGGACTACTCCAGCTAGAACAGTACCTCATACTGACTGCCCACTGTGAGCAGCATCAACGAGTTAGCACAGAACTGGTAGTGCACCAGAAACGCACACCCTGGTTTATACTCTTCAGTGATTTCTCCATCTGGGTAGGCCCAGAAGTAACAACATGCAGCTTATGGATTCAGTTTGATATTATGAACTCTCTGTAAATGGTTAAACTCTAGGGATCGTTCTCATTGTATTCTAACCGTGAGGGGCTACAATGCCACCTGAAGATCCAGCTGCTTGCAAAAATCTTTCAGTTCAGTTCATTTTCTAGCAGGCAAGACAGCAACCGACTCCACTAAGGTTTTGTGAGGGTCTTTCAGTCACTGAGATAGATGAAACACAGGATACCTGCTGATGGGGGTTATACATCGGGGTATGTGTACAACATGTATAGACAATGAGAGAACGTGTATAGACAACGTGTATAGACAATGAGAGAAAGGACCCCTAACTACTCAGCTTCCTTAATGAAATGACCCACTGCTAAGGTTTGGAGCCTGGAATCCATGCCAAAGGGCACACATGACATGCAGATGAGACAGACAGGCAAACTGACCAATCACCGCAATTCCCAAAAGCCTGTGGATACATCAGAGGTCATAGTCATATTGGTCTATAGGCAGAAGGAATCGGAAGTCTTGGCAGAGGTGATATCTTTTATTAGGCCAACTAGATATTTGCAGATAAATTCTTTATTTGTAAGCTTTCAGGTGCACACACCCTTCTTCAGGCACAGGAGAACGCAGTTTTACAATCTTGTCAGCTTCCACTAGAGCAGTGGTTCTCAAACTTTTGTTTTTTTTCGCGGACCACTTGAAAATTGCTGAGGGTCTCGGTGGACCACTTAAACTTTTATTTTTTTTGTTCTACAAATCGAAGCATATAACTCACATTTCAATATCAGTATTCTTACCTTTCTAATGCAATGGCCGTGCCTGTTTTTTTGAGCAAAGTTCTGGAAGTCATGTGTAATGTTTGTCAGCTTTAGCCTTAGGCCACCTTTCTGCAGACCACCTGAATAGAGTTGGCAGACCAGTGGTGATCCGCAGACCACAGTTTGAGAACCTCTGGTTTAGAGCAGGGGTGACCAACCTGCGGCTCCGGAGCCACATGCGGCTCTTCAGAAGTTAATTTGGAAGCTGGTCACCGTGTGCTTGTGCAACGATTCAAGGAGATGCATATTAACTTCTGAAGAGCCGCATGTGGCTCTGGAGCCACAGGTTGGCCACCCCTGGGCTAGAGGCAAAAGGAATCAAAACAATGGCAGAGGTGATATCTATCTATCCATCCATCTATCTATCTATAGAGAGATAGATAGTTATCTATATAGATAGATAGTTATCTATATATAGTTAGATATATATAGATGGATATAGATATATCTATAGATATCTATAGATATATCTAGTTAGATATATATAGATACAGATACCTATCTATCTATCTATATATATCTAGTTGAAAATATCTAGTTGGTCTAATAAAATATATCACCTCTGCCACAAGTTTTGATTCATTTTACAATCTTGGCATTCTCCTATGCCTAAAGAAGGGTGTGTGCGCCCGAAAGCTTGCAGATAAAGATTCTGATTTCTTTTTTTTTTTTGGCAGACATCTAGTTGGTCTCAATCAGATGAAAGATGAGCCATGTGAAGCCACACGGTGGCAGCGTTGAACCTGAGAAGACGAGCTATAGGGCTGTGTTCTTTATAGTGTCTGGACATGTTCTGTCACTGCTCTGCTGATCAAATATAACCAGTCAAATAAAAAGAAGCCAACGATATTTTATCTACCTGTTTCAGGTTAAATGTTGGGATTCATTATATCAAAATGCCCTCTGACCATGCAATGCTACTTCCAAGGATAACATGCAAGTATTAATGACAGATCCTGTCATGTTCCAGAAGATCTTTTATACACAGTTACATGGTGAGAGATGCTGAGAAATGTCTCCTGATTTTGCCGAAAGGGGAGAAAGAAGCACCCAAGGACAGAAATCATGCATCGGTCCTTTTCAGCAGAAAAGAATAGGAATTCAGTAGTTATGTTTTCATGGTTTCATAGTTGTTAAGCGCTGGAAGGGACCTTTAGGATCATCAGGTCCAGCCCCCGTGCACTTGGGCAGGAAAGATGGCTGGGATCAGATGACCCCAGCAAGAATCTTTATGATAACATGATTTTTCTTATTGCTGTGATTCTTCTAATGAAGTCAAATTTTGAAGCAACTAAGGCTTCTGTGTGAAGATCCCACTGTGAATAGCGGGCCAGGGAAACAAGCAGACAGCAAGCAGCAAACCTAAGACTAAGCTTTGTGCATCCTCCTGCTCCTCCTCATTCAAATTCATCTCAGGCCAGTTGGGCTGCATGGTTTGTTTGCATACATGTATTCAACATCAAATGTGTTGATTCAATTCACTAGTGACTTGGGATGACTAATGTTGAAAATTGTGAGCAGAATACCAATGCAATCGCTGGCTTCTTTGGAAGAGTCGAACTTCCGTTCCTTCACTTGTGATTTTGTGTGCGTGTGTGTGTGCGCGTGTGCGTGCGTGCGTGCGCATGTGTGCATGCATGAAAATATTTTCAAATACCGGTTACATTGCAAATATTGGGGCTGGTTTGCCAATGCTTTGCACTGTCCAAATTCACTAAATGGTGTATTTGGCAAATACTATTTGACCTGCTCTTATAATAAGCATTACTAAATATATGAAAGAGACCCAAGAGCACAGTTCAGATCACATTACTATTAATAGGAACCATGCTGTAGCTGGTATTGGGAATAGGATCCGATGCTGAGCTCGAGTGCTTTGTTGATCACTTAGGTCCCAAACCAACCCTTCCTGAAGTCAACAGGAAAACTTGTATAGGAATGACCACACTGGATCAGACTCGCAGCCTACCTAGTCCATATTCCTGTCTCCAGCAATGCTCAGGATCAGATGCTTCAAAGAAAGGTGCTCGAAACCCCATAGCAAGCAAACATCAGATAACCTGTCCCCCAGCTCCCCTATTCCTGTAACGGGGGTTGGTACTGAGAATTGGAAGCAGGCACTCTATTCTTCAAGTACAGCCTGTGGCTTACTTCCAAACAAAGATTAAGCAAGCTATGCCCCCGTCCCCGTCCTAATAGACTAAAAAATAAAGGAAGAAATACATGACTGTATTTTTTTTGTTTGTGTCTAGCTGCTTGTGTGGCTTTCAGATACACTAATGATGGAACATTGGATTTTGGTTAATTCTGTATTTCATGACATTTGCAATCACAGCCATAACATTAGACAAATAATAGCGTTGTGCAATGAAGAGCCTTTTTATGTTGAAGAAAAAATTCCCTCTCTAGCCAAATTACTATTGCATTTTAACTGTGTTGGACATAATTAATGGATTTACATCTTCTACAATGTTAATTTTCCCACTGTTGTAACGGCAAATTTCCATTTTATTAACATTTTTTTTTCTTCTACAGTCCCGAATTCGCTCATGCATTACTGAAAGTTCCAGGAGAACCTTTTACTATCTGGAGCTTTTAGACTTTATCCATCAACCTAATTTTCACTAATACGTTAAGCCACTGGAAAGTCAATTAGATTTATGCTCTACATTATGCTCTGCATTACAACTAGAAGTCAAAGCCAATCATATGAGTCTGAGGATAAAAACCATATTATAAATATCATTGGGGGGAAGCTACAAGCCACTTGTTGGCTTTAGAGTCATGGGTTCCAGCCTCATTTGAAGTCTCTGGTGCACGCAGATGCATGTATCTGAAACCAGAACAGGGATTAAGACACACATGTTTTTACATGTGAGCAATTTTTTTTCAGACATCTAGTCCCATTCAGTTCAATTGGAGTACACCTGTGCTAAAAGTTGATCTTATATACATATGCAGGGTTATAGCTTAAATCTGAATAGAGAATTATAGACAAGTCAGTTTGGAAGGGACCTCCAGGGGTCATTTAGTCCAGCTCTTTGCTCCAGGCAGGATCATCCCTATCCATGTCATCCCATGCAGGTCCTTGTCTATCCCACCACTAAAACTACACAATCAACACACACAACTCCAAGGCATATTGTCCAAAGACACCAAGAGCACCTTAATCTACCACAGGTAAAGCAGGGGGGACAATGGCTCTGTCCCACTGCTGCAGGGGGTATCAAAATGCACTCATGGGATCCAAGGAAGGAGGCCACATCCCTCACTACAGAGAAGCCAACTCCCCCCTCCCCAATCCATACCAATCTATGTGGTGCAAGTCCTTTCTGATCCCAAATGTGGCTATTGATCTGACCCTGAGCATCTAACCAGGACCCTCTGGGTTTTAGCCCCAGCAGGAATATTGGCACCCCCCAGCCAAAATCCCCAGCCTTGGCTGCAGCCAACACCCAATGCCTCTGAGGAAGGCAACCCTTTTCCCCCTAACACCTGTAGCAACAGTAGGGGGAGAAAAATCTTTCTAGCCCCACATGGCAATAAGCAAAGCCACAAGAAAGGGAAAACCAAGCACCCTCCATTCTC